TCAGTAAAGCGGGCACCCACTGATATGATTTTCAGTTCTTTGATGTCTGATAATTGATCCCTTCTACACCTCATGGTCAGACAGGCTGGTGTGCTTCTTCCATGTGGGCTTCGATGCTTCTCAGTTAGATGGCCGCTTGTGAGTACACCCATTGTTAGCAGTATAACTACCGGGATCTGTGTCCTCTGCCAAGCCAGGGCTCACCAGTCTGTTTTTCTGCTTCTCATTCCAGCCTGATCCAGTGGTTCGAGACAGCACCTAGTCGGACCTGCCCACAATGCCGAATCCAGGTGAGGGTGTGGGCACAGGAGCTCAGTGGGAGCTGCCTCCTCATGGGCAGGAAGTGGGAATGAGGAAGGGCCTCTGAAATGGGCCAGTGGGTCCATCCTTTTGAGACTCTTGGATTTGAGGCCAGTGGGCCCTCTCTTGCCGTGCCCTGGAGTGGCTGCCTGGGCCAGTGTTCACTGGCATGGATTTAGCTGCTCTACCTTCCCCGTTTCCTCGGGTCCCCAGCACCTACAGTTGGGGTGTGTTATGAGCAGCCACCCCACGGGCCCATAGTGCTATGAGGTCAGCAACAACCAAATTAGCAGTCCTGGCTTGGCTTTGCCTGCAAGGTGGGAGAGGCTTTCTGTCTCCAAGGGACAGACTGGCATGTATGGAAGGTGGGCGGTGGAACGCATGCACACTGTCTCACTGGTCCATGATCCAGCCACTCTGTCATACTCTCCCCTGTTCTCCCATCCAGGTTGGCAAAAGGACCATTATCAATAAGCTCTTCTTTGATCTTGCCCAGGAGGAGGAGAATGTTTTGGATGCTGAATTCTTAAAGGTAGCGGGAACTCGTCTTATCCCACGGAAGCGCAAACCCTCTGGAAGTTCCCTCCCCGCTCTCAGCCGGCAGCTGGCCTGGAGCCATGTGGAGGGGGATGTTGTGGGGGGTCATGAGGAGAGCAGAGCACACCTGCTGATGGGTGACCTGAGAGTGGTGGTCATGGAAGATGGCCCTGTTATAACGGGAAGAAGGAGGACACCCCACCGTGAGCCCACAGCTAGTGACGTCAGCCCAGTGCCCACCCAAAGCCCCTTCCCATCTCGTGAGGGACTGCAGCTGTCTCGTCCAGCCCACTTTGCTGCTGGGAGAATTACAGACAGATTAGAAAACTCTCACTTAGCCAGGGGAAGAGGTGGGGTGGAACTACTGTAATTCCCCAAACTGGCTGAAGCCTGAAAACTGCCTAAGAAGCCTTGTTTAAATCCAGGTCCCCGAGCCTTTCCCGAGTCAGGGATAGAAGGGACCTAGTCCTTGGAGTCAAGATAAGCCACCACTGGGGAAACCCACACGGCGGTGGCGGTGAGGGGGTCCCTCTTTGATTTTTATCCCTTGGCCTTTGAGTCTAAAATTTAGCTTGTGTGTGTATACGAGGCGCAGCAGATGGGACTGTTGGCCTGAGCTGGGTTTACAAGTGATTCCTGCTCTCTGTGGTTAATGTGCAACTGTCACACAGAGTCTGTTCATCCCCTGGGCATCGTGATGTCCTTGGAGCCCATCCCTTCAAGCACACGGAGCTTTGTGCCTAGAGCCAGCCTGTTCATCGTCATGGTAACTGCTCCCTGTTTTAACTGGTGCCCTCCCTGGGGTGAAGGCAACAAAGACCATTTCTTTTCTTTCTGGCTTCCAAAGCCAGGTTGGGGAGACAAGGAGGAGCCATTTGGAGTGGCTTGGAGCAGAGGCTTAAAGGCAGCCCTAGGGGTGTGGAAGGAGCCAGGGGACGTGGGCAGTGACACGCTGACCTTGGGCTAGTATCTGCTCTCTGGCAGCTCCTTCCCCATGTCCTCCTGGGACCCCCCCAGCTGGTCAGCCCACACAGCTCCTGCCTCGCGTCCTGGACAGAGATTTTGACAAGAGCCATGTTCACCTCCTTTTAAAAAATTTATTTATTTTAACCATTTTATCGGGGGCTCGTAACCATGTTCACCTCTTAAGACAGGGATCATGTGGGTCACATGTGAGCTTCTGAGGTTGTTGCTCTGGTAAGGGTTCATCCGGAGGCAGGTTTGCATGGATTCCATGCAGCTGCCCCCACGGAAGCCTTTTTTTTAATTTTTATGAACCTTTTTGCTAAGAGTTGGGTACAGGTTTGCGGGGTTGTGTTGACATGTCCTGTTCAACAGTGCATGCACGCTGTGCTAGGCTCCTGTCCTTGTCTGCAACCCCCACGTCCCTCATCCCACGTCCCCATCTCCTATGTCCATCCCTCTTTATAACTCTCACGCCTTCTCGACGCCGCCCTTGCATAGGTGCTGCCCTGCTGACCTCACAGGGTCGATTACTCAAAGGACTGCCTGTTGGTCACCTTATAGACCTATTTGGCTAAAAGGGGAGCCGGCACGGGGAGCGGGGCGAGTTCCGTCCCAGGCCTGAAGGGTGACGAAGGCCTTGGCCAAACCTTTTGGCTCTGCAAAGCATGGTTGTCTTGCTTGTGGAGAGACACCTTGCTTATTCACAGGGTCACTGATTGCTCTGCCCTCCAAATGGAGATGGGCTTGGTGCTACACCAGCCTCTTTCTTGGTTCTGTGGGGAGTGGCCTCGAGAGGCTCCCTTGGCTCTCCTGACCAACTGGTCCCAAGCTGGCATGTGTGAGCTTTCACCCAGGGTGGCACAGTTGTCCTGGCTCACCTTTCCAGCCGGTCCCTCCCAGTGGATGCTGGGGCTGCGAGCTTGTGGTATACAGAGCCAGGCTGGGGCTCGGGGAGGTAAGCTTTGAAGCAGGGTGTTAGCCCCAAGTTCCTGGCCATTCCTCCTCTGAGTCTCTGTGTGAACAGCTGATGCCCAGAGATAGCAAGGGTCAGCACAGGGCCAAGGAAGCGAAGAAAGCCCCTGCTGTTGAGTGCGGACACACAGGCTAGCCGTACTTCTCCCCACCGTCTCCCGCTCCTGCCTGGCCCTTGCCCCTGAGATTACGTTTCCCCACCTTACCGGTGATTTGGTTTTTAAAGACACCTGGTGGCTTAGCTTGGTCCTAAGGTACATCAGGGTCCCTGCCTCCCTGGACATGCAGGCCACAGGGCCCCTGTGGCGGCTCCCCTTTGCCGTCCTGAAGGCGGCTGGTTGTGACGCTTTCCTGCTGCTTATTGTGGATGTTTCTCTGCAGAATGAACTCGACAACACCAGAGCCCAGCTTTCCCAGAAAGGTGAGTTCGCAAGAGACCAGGGCCCTGGGAAGCCCCTGACTGGATGCTAAGAGGGAGGGGTTTCAGGAGTGAACCTCCACTTTTCGGGCAGAGCTGAGAACTCTCCCTTGGCCCTATGACTGGCAGAAAGGAGATAAAAGGAGGTGAATGAGCTAGTCACCTAGACCAGGTGAGCTTCTTGGCCAAGGCCAAGCCTCGGGGCTGTGGAGCACTTAGTGGGGCAGAATATCAGCTAGTTTGGCAGGGCCCTAGGTAAGTTTCAGGATGGCTGATGAGTAAGTCGTAGGTCAGTCTGTGGGAGGAGGGAGCAGGGAGATGTTTTTCCAAGTCGCTCCACGCAGCAGAAAGAGACTCAGGCTCGGCTTCCCAGAGAGAAGAGTGGGCAGCGAGATATGCTTAGCTACCTGACTCATGAGCTGGGTGCCAGCGCCCAGATTCTCCAGCTGATGGGAGACCGGGCCCCCTTTGATCCCCTCTGCAGAGAAGGAGAAGCGAGACAGCCAGGCCATCATTGATACCCTGCGGGACACACTGGAGGAGCGCAATGCCACCGTGGAATCCCTGCAGCAGTCCTTGAACAAGGCAGAGATGCTGTGCTCCACCCTCAAGGTGGGTGGGCCGTGGGGCCTGACGGGGAGGGAGCCCCTGTAGCCTTTGGTTCTCTCTCCCCGTACCTGGGCTTGCACTGTTGTAAAGTAGAAGCAAATCCTTTTTCCCCTGGCCTTCCTGTCCTGTACCGCTCCGACCCATCTCAACGGGGCCCTGTTGGACTTGGTCCCAGCTGGTTTGGAGAGGTGAAGCCTTCCCTTAGCCTCATGGAAGCACAGCCCAACCAAGGTCGAGGCTGGGGCAGCCCGGCTGTGTCTCCAAAAGTGGTTCATGCTCCACTGATGAAGCCAGGCTGCAAGCCTTCTCTCAGCACTGCAGTCCTGGGCAGGCCGCTCTCCGGAGCAGATCAAACAGCCTCCCAGGGAGAAGCAGGGGCCTTTGAAGTAGGCTGTGCTGAGCTGACTGGGCAGATCAAAGCCTGCAGAGCAAGCAGGCCCCAGACCCAGATGAATTTTGAATCAACCTGGGTTGGGGAGCCTCTTGTTGTCCAAGGGGCAGAGGCGATAGATCTGAACCTGAGCAGGAGCCATTTGAAAGGGAGAGAGGGACTGACTGCCTTTGTGAGCAGGGACGTGCATACATTGCCTGTGGCCCTGTGCTGCAGCATGTGCTCTGGCTGGGGGGGAGGAGGGAGCAAGCCCGCCAGCACCTGCTGCAGAGCACCAGGCTGTGGAGGTATTCCCAGGTCAGAAGTGGAGTGGCTGTGTGCTGAGGGCAGCCAGGCCAGCTGCCTCTGGCACAGCTGCCCGATCCTGGCAGCATGTCCTGATGTGGGTCATGCCCCAGACATCATCCCCACCTACCTACACAACATGTCTTTGCCCCCGCCCCCAGACCAGGAGGCCAGCTGCAGTAGGCTGTGTCTCGGAGAGGGAGATCTCAGGAGGAAGCGCTGGCCCAGGACCCCTTAGCCCAGCGGTTCTCAGCCTTCCTAATGCCGAGACCCTTTCGTAAGTTCCTCGTGTGTGGAGACCCCAACCATAAGTTATTTCCATTGCTACTTCATCACTGTCACTTTGCTACTGCGATGAATTGCCATGTGAATATCTGATATGCAGGATGTATTTTCACGTTACAAATGGAACATAATTAAAGCATAGTGATTAATCACAAAAACAATACGTAGTTATAGTGAAATATTTATTTTTAATTACAAAAAAATGAAATTTTGTCTTGAAGCATGGTGTAGCATGGGTAATAGTCTTACTATAACAACAGGAAACTACATTGCTACATTTTGCAACAGTATGCGTAAAAAGCCCCATCTTGGTTCCTAAGGCCATGGGAAATATGTGTTTTCCGATGGTCTTAGGCAACCCCTGTGAAAGGATCATTCGACTCCCAAAGTGGTCACAACCTACAGGAGAGAGGGCCTGGAGCCTTGCCTGCCAGGGAGCTGGGACTCATGGCTGTCAGCATTTCCCGAAGTGTAGGACAGACAGCGCTAGGCTAGAGTTCTCCCAGTGACCTTAGCCTGGCCCCTGGGAGCCTCCAAGCAATAGGTGTGGGCGTGCTTGCTCTTCAGAAGCAGATGAAGTTCCTGGAACAGCAGCAGGACGAGACCAAGCAAGCGCGGGAGGAGACCCGCCGACTCCGGAGCAAGATGAAGACCATGGAGCGGTGAGCCTGGAGCCGGGGCCTGCCTGGGACCCTGGAGCCCGTGACTCCCAGTGACACAGGCAGTGGGGTTGGGTCCCCTGAGGGCTCAGATCTCCAACAGCCAGTGTGGCCTCAGGCCAGCTGGGGGTAGACCCGAGTCTCTGCTTCACCTCTGTGGGCAGCTCCACTTCCGACTGAGGCCCCTGCCACACTCCTCCCTGTCTCTGCTGCTTGTGACCAGACAACCTGGCAGGCCTTCTTTCTCTCCAGGCATCCCTGACCTTGAGGTTCTGCGACCCTTCTTTCCCCAGCAGCAGCATCCTTGGAGCTGTGCTCAGCTTGCTATAGGCCTCTCCTTGGGCAGAGCTGCCTGCTGAAGCAGCCTAGCAGCTGAGGCTGTCACTATAGCAACAGAGCAGAGGGAGGCAGAGCGGTGCTGGGTGCCCACCCACCAGCCCCCACGTTTCAGATGCTGTGGGCTGGGTGTTTTCCAGGCTTGAGCTCCTGCTCCAGAGCCAGCGACCCGAGGTGGAGGAGATGATCCGAGACATGGGTGCGGGACACTCGGCGGTGGAGCAGCTGTCCGTGTACTGCGTGTCCCTCAAGAAGTACGTTGTCTGGCCCGACCCTCTCTCAGCCTAGCCACCAGGCTGGGTGGCCCCTTCTCTCCTCGCCCTCCACTGCCCGCCTCTTGTAGCACAGAGCCACAGGAGGGCGAGCTCTGCCTCAGTGGGAACTAGCTGTGTGGGTCTGTGGTCTGACCCTCAGTTTCCTGGATGGAGATGGTCCTAGACGTGCTGCATTGGTTTGAAAGAGTGGAGCGCGCATGATAAGTGTTGTTTCTGCTGGGACTGGCACAGCTCTCTGAGCCACAAGGCCCGCCCCTCTCTGGAGCTTGCTTCTCGTGTCCCGTCAGCATGATTACTGACCCGGCTTGCCTTGGTCACAGACTTTGTTTAGCTTCTCCACTCCTAAGCCCACATCTCATTAGCCATTGGACCGCTGCTAGGACTATGGGCAGTCTAAATTGAGGAGGTGGCCACTGGGCTGTCAGGCCCAGAGGGTCTGACACCTCCTGTTGGGCCTGGCTGGTGTGGGGGGTCCCTAAGGAGGCCAGGGCTCTCAGCACTCCCTCTCAAATCACCAGCGCCTACTGCGCAGGCAGGCACTAGAGAGTCCGTTGCCAGCGCTTTGGCACTGGGTGCAGGCAGGACCCTTGTGTCAGAGCAGAGGTGAGCCTGAGCCGAGGGCTGGGCGGCACTGTGTGTGGCTGTGCTGGGGAGCTCGGACCGGCCGCCGGGACACCAGGGGGCCCGCTCTGGCGCCCTCATCTCTTCCTACGGTTGCTTTGCAGAGAGTATGAGAACCTAAAAGAGGCTCGGAAGGCCTCCGGGGAGCTGGCGGAGAAGCTGAGGAAGGAATTGCTTGCTTCCCGAAGCAAGGTACCTTAGTGGGGAGCAGGGCATAAGGGGAGCGGCCTATCCCCAGAGGCTGCTCTCCTTTTGTCCCTCTCATGAGCCTGGTGAGTCCCAGCCTGATGGCACAGTCACTGGCATTATAACATGTGCACACTCCTTCGTCCCTCCACTCTTCTGGCTTCTGGGATCTGATGCAGTTGGCACAGCTGACCTCACTTCTGGGCACGGTGTGCCCATGGGTTTCGAGATGTGGATACATAGCTCTCACTCCTGGCAGCTGCAAGGGTTACTGTGCCAGACTGTGATGTCCCTGGGCCCTGGTCTCTTCTGGACTCTAGACTCCCCTCCACCCACCCACGGGGTAGCATCAAGTCAGGCCATGCACACAGCTACGCCACGGTCTGTCTTGTATCCCCAACACTCTCTCATAGCTGCAGATCGTCTACTCTGAACTGGACCAGACCAAGGTGGAGCTGAAGTCAGCCCAAAAGGACTTACAGAGTGCAGACAAGGAGATCACGGTGAGGGGCAAGGCTGGACTGTCTCTGCCCAGTCAGCCTGGCGGGCCTGGGCTCTCCATCCTCCTGGACAAGTGGATCAGGGTGTGCACTTTGGTCCTGATCTCGAGCCTTCTTGGCAAAGGGCAGCCAGAAACCATCACATCTGACCTGGAGCCCGCCATTCTTACCAGAGGCTGGGCTCTTCCAGGGGAAGGGGGTCTGGAGCCAGATGGTCCGGGCCTTCCAAGCAGGCTGCTCGTGACTGTGGGCACTCACTCTGGATGGCACCCCAGCAGACACCCGCTCTTTCCTTCCCCAAGAGTCTGAGGAAGAAGCTGAAGATGCTGCAGGAAACCCTGAGCCTGCCCCCCACGGCCAGTGAGACTGTCAACCGCCTGGTCTTAGAAAGGTTTGTTGAGCCTTTGGGGGAGGCCAGGGGGCTAGAAACCCTGGGCGGGGTCTGCTCTCCTCCCAACTGTGGTGGAGTGGGTGTGGCACACCTGCTCTAAAAGCTGTGAGCCAGCCAGGAATGGGCTGGAACCGCTCCTCTTGCAGGCGTCCTCTGGAGGCCAGGGAGGGCTGGCACAGGTCGAGAATGTGCAGGAGCACGGAATGTCCTGCGGCATCCTGCTTATGGGCCGGCTCACCGAACGCATCCTGTCCTCTCAAGTCGTTTTCCCAGGTGTCAGGAGCCCCGGTGGCATAGAGGGTCACGCTCTGGCTAACCACAAGGCCAGCACCTCAAGCCCACCAGCCAGTCCACAGAGGGAAGATGAGGCTGTCTGCTCTCCTCAAGGGTGGTCCCACCCTGTCCTTTAGGTTTGCTGGGCGTCAGTGAGATCCTTGGTTTCTGGGTTTCAGCAGCATGTGCTTAAAAGCCACCAGGAGAGGGAGCCAAAAGGCAGGGGAACTGCTGGCCCTCCTGGATTGGGTGCCCCTCCCTCTGCTGAGAATGCCGCAGATGCCACCTGCTGAATGGCCGGTGCGTCCCAGCCACCAGACAGAAAGCCTCCGGCTGCCCTCACTGACCCAGGCTCTTATTAGCACCAGGGTGCAATGTGTTCGGAAACCCATATGCCCTTCCTGCACACATCCAATCGGAGGCGAACTGTCTTATCTCCACCCTTCCCTGGAAGGCTGTGCCCCGTGTCCCGCTCCTGTTTGCCCAGCACACCAGCCCCACAGAGACTCCCCTGGGACACAGCTCTGACAGCGTGGCACCCCAGCAGACAGGCCCCCTTCTTTCATCCTCCGCTCCCCCCCCCTTTCCTTCGACTCCTCGGTGGAAAAAGACAAAGGCGATAAGGAGAGCCCTCGTTGAGCTGGACCGCATGGGAGGTGTTGGAGGGCCATGTCAGCAGCTAGTTGGGTAGGGCCCTGGGCCCCATGAGGCGCCCACTGCAGTGTGGCATGATTTCGGGGGGGTGATTTATTTCTTTTTTAATGTGTTTTCTGACCTCATATTATTCTCTAACTTTTAAAATATGACTCCCCGGAAGGTCTTGGAGGGCGCCCTGGTGGTGCAGAGGTTAAAGCACCCAGCAGCCATGCAGGGGAAGAAAGACGTGGCAGTGCTCAGGGGCAGTGCTGCTCTGTCCTGTAGGGTCACTGTGAGTCAGACTCGACTTAGAGCATTGGGGTTGGGCAGGGGGACCTTGGAGATGTATCCAGGTTGGGGTACGGTGACCCACATTGCTCTTCCCACTGCTTAATCTCTGGAGCAACAAGCCATGTCTACTTAGATGGCCTCGACAGTCCGGGTGGCTCCCGAGGTCCAGGCCAGCAGCGTGCCACAGAGAGCACCCGAGGCTGCGAAGGAGAGACAGCTGCCTGGGCAGCCACCCTCGGGCTTCTCTGGTACTATTTCCTGTGTCTCACGTCTTCCTTCCTCTTGACGTACTCCCTGCTTTGTTGAAGAGTTCCTAAGGAAGGGCGCTTGGCGGAAGGACAGGATGCCTTTCGCCTAGATTGCCAGTCAGGATTCCCGAAGGAGCTCTTGCTTCCCTCTGTCCAGCTGCAGGGCTGCCTCTGAGGAGAGCGAGCCGTCTTGACCTTCTCTTAACCTATATGTATAAAGCACATTTGTCCATCTCGTGTTTTTCACATGTGCGGCTGGCTCAGGGGCACAGATGACATCAGTCACAGCATACAGCTGCCCCTGCTGACCATGCAGACCCACGTTTTCGCCCCTTGTCCCACTCCGGTGCTGCATGCACTTGAGGGCACATGCATGTTTCCCAGGGTGACCGTGGTGCAGCTCGCACCACGATTCGTCCCCCTGCGTGGTGGAGTCAGACTCTACAGGCCCTCGTTGGTTTCTCCATTCATCTCTGGGCGGACGTGGGCCCGTTTCCCACGCTCACGCTCGTGAGGCAGTGAACGCACGCCGCTGTACTGTCTGACTCAAGCCTTTCGTAAGGGAAGCTGTTTTCCATTTCTGCCCCATGTGGGAGCCTGCGTCCATCCTTGATTCCGGGGATGTCTCCGCGAGGCACCCGATGGTGGTCTGTGCCTCGACTCAGCCCATGGCGGGGCCTTGCAGTGTGAGTAAGTAAACCATCAGCCCCAGGATGGTTTCTGTTTCCTTCCTTGGAGGACCACGGTGCTCCCCTTCCTCTGCCGGGAGCTCCTGCAGGACTGGCGCGTGGCCTCCTGGGTCGGGGCTTGGTGTTTCATCTGAGCACTCTCCATTCTGGGAGGGCTTCACATCTACTTGGAATGTCTGGGTTTTTAGTTCAGCAATTGTCCTGTTCATCCTATGTGGGCTTTTTGTGCTTTGGGAGTGCAAGCTTTGCAAAGCGTGCTGCTCTTGTTCCATGGGCTCGCCTCTCTGGGTCTGGGAGTTCTGGGCTTTCTGAGACCTTCTCGGGGGAGGTAGCAGGGAGGCTGCCTATGTTTGAGGGGGTATGCGGCAAGCCAGCCCCATCCTGGGGGTACCTGAGCCCAGGCTGCCAAAGGCTTTGCTGTTGGGTTCAGTGCTGGCTGCCTCAGTGGTTGCAGCTGATTTCCTTGGTGTCTCTGGAAAAGGTGCCTCCCCCGCCCGTTCCTTAGCCTGGGACAGGAGGCTGGCTGGAAGGGCGTGGAACTCAGCTGGCAGTTCCCATCAATCCCGGTTTCCAGGCCCCTTAAGGTGCCTTGGGCGAGCCCCTGGCACTTCCTTTGCATGCCCAGCACCTCCTGAAGGGCCCTGGCTGCTGTGTTAGTGTCCCCTGTCCCCTTGCCGCATCCCCCTTCTGGGAGCTGATGGCAGTTGCGCTAGGCAGGGACTTCACCCCTGCCCCTATCGGGTGGCCTCCCCGGGGTCAGGGGCTTGCGGCCAGCCAGACCACTTAGGTCCAGGCCCCTGCCTGCCTCGGGCATACACCCTCCTTACTGGGCCTGCACGTGCTGGGCCTAATCAGTGCTGGCAGAGTGGCGGGTCCTGTGAAATGTTGCCGGAAGCCTCCCTGGCTGCTGCTTTTAGTGCGGGCTCGGGGGAGAAGCGTCTGTCACGGAACATGGGGTTGAGGTGGATTTGATGGCCTTCCTGTCTACTTGAAGGCAGGGAGGAGGGCAGTGCTTCCATGGGCCTGGCCGGTGAGGAAGAGCCCTTCCAGGCTTCCCAGATGGCTGACCCAGCCGGCTCGGCGCACGCAGCTCCCTTCCCCCAGTGGGCCCGGGCCAGCTGCCTCTCTGTGTAGCTCACCCTCACTGGGCTGGGCCATGGCCCTGAGGGCAGGAAGGGGAGAGGCCTGTCCTAGAGGCTGCTCCCTCGGCCCCCAGCATTCTCCCCAGACCATGGCAGCGTGGGCGCCTGCCGGGCCAGGGTGAGCCGGAAAAAATCTTGTTGGCTGCAGTTTCCTCATCAAGTATGACTTCCCACACTCCCAGTTAAACAGCTGACACAGGCTTCTTGCAGAGCGTTTTCGGAAATCAGGAGGTATCCCAGAGCTAGGCACCGTCGGCGTCCTCTGCACGTCCTTCCTTCCCTGCCTTGTTCAGAGTGAGGAGCGTTGCCAAATCCTGTGATGGAGCCATACTTAAGGGGTCTGGGGTGACCTTGACGTTCAACATGAGAGCATTTCCCATGAGTACATTTGCTGTCCAGAAACGCCACTCGAGGGCCTGGATCATATGCAAGCTGTGGACTTGCCTGTCACCCAGGGGGTGGCTTCAGCAGGGTCTAAGGTTTCGTTCAGTCTCTGCCGTGCTGATCAGCTGGGGGTGGGGGTGGGGGAGATAGACCCCTTCTCAGTGGTCGCTGGACATTTCTCTGCCTGCGCTCTCAGGGAAGAGGCTGTCTGACTGAAGGGCAGTTCTCGTGTGTCTGGATTCTGGCTGGCTTCTTCCTGAGTCTTCTAGACGGCGGTCAGGCCGCTGCACAGAGGGCTGAGCCAAGTGGTTTATTTGGTAGTAGGGAGTGGATTTCCCAAGGGTGTGGCCCTGGCAGGGGCGGGGTGGGGGGG